CCACGCTTTGCAATCCTAAGGCTGTTATTTGGCCCACATTTGCTGATCCACCTCTAAGCAATGTGTCAGGACCACAGAGCATGGGCCCCCAGCTGCAATGAGCCCCCACTGTGGTCTGTGCTGACTCTCCAGGATATAAGGCAAGGACCCTGTGAGTCATGATTACCTGCATAAAAAGCCAAGCCAACAGCCAGGGCTCCTGATCTAATTCTCCCATGAGTAATGCTCCACCATGCAGCAGACACCGCCTAGCACCCAACTGTCCCCAAGCCGCCTGCCCATGTGGTGCCGTTTCCTGTAATTCTGGGGAACTGAGGCCTAGGGAATCAAGCACATTGCCCAGTGCCAGAGCCAGGACTCAGAAATCCTGTCTGGTCAGTCTCGTGCCTTGGGCCTTTGAAACTGCAACCCGGAAAACATAAGCAAAAGTAAAGGGACCCTACGGTTATTAAACCCCATAAAGTCTCAGGTACTAGAGGTTATCATTTCTGGGACAAACAGAACACTCTGAACTTGACCCAGGGATTTGCACCACCTGAAGTGCAAGGCTGCCCTCTGCTGTTAAACTCATCCTCATCTCTCAGAACACAACGAATTGAAATTTGAAAACTTCTGTGTCATTTCATTTTTCCACATTCTTCAGGAAAATTAAGTCTCCTTGTTAGTAGGACATTAAGACCTGGCGGCGTCCATCTGAAATTAATATTAAAGGAGCTGGAGGGAGTGGAAGCTTTATCTGCAATAAGGGTTTTCCACATCCTAAAGCCCAGTGTCCAGCTGCATGGTGAGACAGAGCAATCTGAATCTCCCCAAATCTCTGACAGGGTAGAACACCCCATCCCGGCCATACCAGCAGAGAAATTGCTCTAGAAAGGCCCCCTGCAAGGCCAGCCCTTGCCTGGCACCTGGGAACCTTGATCTGGGGAGGGTTCTTGCCATTCCCAGACTAGAACAAAGATCTGGAATGTTGTAAAACCTAAAATTAAATTAAATCCCAGAAATAGGATGTAGAAGAGAGAGGTTCTCAGCCCACCACCCAGGGATTCCCTCTGCCCATCCCAGCCGAATGGCTGCCCAGCTTCTGCTGAAAGTCTTCCAGTAAAGGCTACTCGGCTGGACACAGTTCTCAGCCTCCAGAAGCTCTGCCTGTAGAGGGAAGATGACTATTCCGGGGGCCCGTGGTGAGATGGGATGTGCAGGGGAGACCCGGCCCTGAGCAACCAGGGAAGGCAGCCTGCCTTGAGTACGGACAGCAGCCCCTGCGGGGCAACGTGCTTCTGCGAACATTTTCAAAGGACCGTTTTTACCAGTGTTCTTTGAGGGAAAGAGAATCTACTTGGAGTCTTTCACCCCAGGTCACACAAAGAGCTTTGAATCCCCAACAGAACCAAAAATCCAGCCGACTATACAGCAGAAAAGAAAGGCAAAGGCCCCAAGCAGACACACAGTGGTGGGCGGGGAAAGCATCTGGAAGCAGCAGCATTCCCTGGTCCCTCTGAGGTGCCGCGGCCCAAAGTTTCCACACCGGGCCTGTTTCCCCACCTAGAAACAGGGAGCAAGATCCCCACTGCCAGGATCACAGAAGAGATCCGAGACATGGCTGGCCACCACAGAGCAGCAGCACGGCTTACCCGGGTCCCCTCTCCGCCCCCTCCACCTTCTGTGTGCAGGTGTCCACGGCAGCAGCTGCCTCAGCAGCACTCTCTGCCAG